GAATCTAGTGGACGCGCAGAATTCTTAAGTAGTTTCTTGAGCAAACAAAATTTTTCGGGTTCTTTAAATTTTAGATAGTTTTTAGTTTCCATTATAATTATAAATATAATTCATGTTTTTTAAATTTGACAATTTTAATTATTTTTAATTTTCAAATTTAAAAATATTTTTTTCGATTTAGGCATTAACTGTTGATAAATCGAAAACTAAATCAAACTAATGAAAATACAATAATTTTCACAACCGCTCATTTGTTAGCAAAAATGTTGAAATATTTTTTCATGCCAAGAAGTTTTTAGAAATAAATAAAATAAGTTGAAAAACTAATTATCAGGCAGTTTTTACAAAACTCCAAGGAAAATTATGTGTTGTGAACATCTTTAGTTTTTTGAACATTTACAATTTTTGCACGTAAGAGTTCTGAACACCCACTTTGAAGCCTTCTGATAAGTTACAACTCTTAACAATTTTTAGAGTTGTAATTTAAGATCGACAAAAACGATAAATTCTGGACCTATACATTATATGGGAATGACCTACAAATAAGGTTCCAACAAACTTGCGGCAACTTTCGTTAATGAAATTTATTGAGAGACTTTTACAAATCAAAAATACTAAAAGAAAAGCACTTGATCTCTCGAATAAACAAATAGTTCTATTGACTGTTTTTTGTTAACATTTCTTGTTTTACAATGAGCTACTAGTAATTAATAAAGCGAAAAGTCAGCTATTCAACCATTGTCACATAACCTTAACCAATACACCGAACGAGAAATTTTGGGTATCCAAGCTAATTTGCTGGAAAATAATATTAGAAATTATTTAAAGCAAATATTTTTAAAATAAATTCGGTAAGATCTCCATTAGAATTGTTCTCTCATAGATTCTTGCGTAATTTAAATTTTTAACGAATTCATCTTAGCATAAAGGAAATTTAAAGCGAAGTATATAGGGTGAAGCCACAAAGAAACTTCTTTTCAATATTAATATTATTTTCTTATATTTATTCTATTCACATTAGGTGTGACCGTCTTGGGTTTGTAAATCAACCTACAGTAAAACCTTAAGGTTCCAAATATAAAAAATGGCATCGGAATTCTATCCCCACAATTTTCGGGTCTACGTAACTAGAACGGACCCAAATTTTTTTTTCCGGCCAAGTACTATCAACGCGGCCCCCCTACTCAGAATTATTTTGAATGATTTCTGACTACCTGTCAGCGGAAATAATCTATATTATTTATTGTTGACACATATCTTATTGAATTCTTTTAAAAGATGATTTCTTTTGTGGCTACCACAATAGATTAATATCATACATTTTCAACAAGATATAGTATAAATAATAAAACATAACCTCATTTTTTTAGTAAACACTGAAACTGAAGAATAAAACATTATTAAAAAAATGTTTTTAATAACACGTGAGTTCTAAGATGACACCATAATACATAGAGATAAGTTAAATAAAATTACATCTGTTGCTCAAACCCATCAACCACTACCTCACAACAGCACTAATGAAAACATATACAAATCTATGTAAAATATATATGTATATGTACGCCGTTAACTGTTGCTGTATATATGTATGAATCAAATAAATCAGCTACTCACACATGCATATACAGAGTAAAAATCGAAATATTTATGAATTATGAATGAGTATGTATGTAGTAAAAGTTCAAAAAAACATTTCGATTTAAATACACAAAGTTTGGTAATATTTTATTAATAATTATGATTATGGTTTTAACATAAAATTAGGATGTGAGCATAATTAATAATAAAAAAAAAATAAAAATTAAAAACATATATATTAATATATATTTTTTTCTCTTCGTATGTGTCACTGATACACCGGCAAGTATTGAGCTTAATACAAAACGCGCGTAAGTAAATATTTATGTAAAACCCATAAATTTAATATCTTCTTCATGTTAACGTAATATACAGTTATGTTTTACATATATATTGTATTAAAATTAAGCACATACAAGTTTAAAAAAAAAATTACGATTATAATAATAATAAACATTAATACGTAAAGTATTGACATTGAAGTTATAAACTAGTTAATTGTTATTATTTAGTAATTACATAAAATAATACATTTAATACATTTTTTGTTGCTATTTATCTTTATATGTATGTATGTATATGCAGAGATTTTGCTTAAGCGAAAAACAAAAATTAAAAAAAAAATGTATTTGATAAAGTTTAAACACAAAAAAATACAGTTTTATGTTTATTCTATACAAAGAAATGACTGCCAACAAAGTGTCTGTGTTTGTTGGGTGAGATATTATTATTATTTTTTATTTATAATTTCTTTTATTGTTTTGTTTTTTTTAGCATTAAACACAAAGTATAATGCAGTCTGCGGCGCATGTCCTGCTTGACAGGTTTTTTTTTGCAGTGTATGAGTGTGGTAAAAAAAAATTGCTTTTGCTGCTAGTTTCAGTTTCGTTATGGCTCTATGTGTGCATAACCAATTTTTGTCTACTTCGGCAAAAAAATAAATAAATTTTTATCAGAAGAATTTGCGGAAGAGTTGTTTCGGGCCACTAGGAGAGCATTAAATAAACGATAACGCCAAAAAAAAGAGCTTAAAAGTTATCATGTAAATAAAATAGTATAACTATAAATTTTGAGACCGCGTACATTCTAAATAATTGCATACAGGCATATAAAAAATCAATTTTTTATGATAGTAAGGTTTTCATAACGATTTCTTTTCAGAAAAATTGGTTTTTAAAAATACTTGTAAACACATTTTTACATATTTCAACAAAATAAATATGAAGTTATGTGAACGAAAACCAGTTACACTTTAGGTTAGAGTTCAACATTATTTTTCGCTGTGTATGCCAAAAAAAAGTTTTATACAAAGTTGAATTTGCTACTTTTAAACTATATAATGCAGCTTTATAGTATTATCTAAGCTTGCAAAGTGGAAGCAGAGCTACTACTCTTCCGAAAAGCGACATTTGGGGAAATGAAAGTATCTGCAGAATCTCAGGAAAAAGTATCGAGCACTTTTCAGTTAATAAAAGCAGTTCGGTTTGATTATAGAAAAAATTAAAAATTATAGCAGCTTTCAACTGTGCGAAGTTCGTGTAACAACGATGATGTTAACATGCAAAACCGAGTATGTCAGCAAAAATTATAAATTTAAATATATTTCTGAGACAACTCACTCATTTTAGGTTTATAAAATTTTTTGTATACGAGTATTTAAAAGCACATTTTCTAGCTTAGAAATAAATTAAAATTTATTAAATTATTTTAATTGTTCTTGAAGACGGAGGACCCTACAACCAGCTTATTAATTTTATTTACAGCTAAATAGATTGAGCACTGGAGCTGAGATTGCATGAGTACTGAAATTTGAATGCATAATTTAATATGTTTTTGAAGAAGAAAATTTTCAAACATTTGATAAAAATAAATTAAAAAAAAAATATATAATAAATAAATAAAATTTAAAAAATATAATAGAAAAAAAATATAAATATATATTAATTAAAAACAAAATAAAATCAGAAACAATTTTTTTTTTTTAATTTAGAGAAAAGTATAATAATTAATTTAAAAAAAAAAAGGAAAAATATATAAATAAAATTCTTAATACAAAAAAAATATTAGTAAAAATTTTAAAAATTAAATAAAAATCAAATGAAATTAAAAAAAAATTAAAATAAGAAAAAAAGTTTTAACATAAAATTTAAAGAAAATTAAAAAAAAAAATTAAAAAATTAGAAAAAAGAAATAATAAAAAATAAAAATATGTAAAACAAAATTTTTGATAAAAAAGAATTAGAAAAAATTAACTGAAATTAAAAAAAATTTATAAGGATATATGAAAAATTGAAGCGAAACATAGTGACTTCAAACACTTGTGTCTGCTATCAAATTTGTAAGCATATTGAAATTTAGCTAATTTATTAAGTATTTTATGTAGTCTACATTAATTCTTTGAAATGTGAAGTAATTACAATTTTTTTTGTAATTTTATAAAAAAAAAATTTTTTTTATGAAAATTCGTAAGCTTTTAGCATGCTTCAGTTTGAGAGTTATAAAAGTTTAGCAAAAATATTTCGGAATAAATAAATAATCTAAGCCAATATCAAATTCAAAACCCAGTAAATTTATGCAATCCAGCCACCAGCGCCCAAAATTAGTTCAATTTACATGTTGATATATGCAAGTGAATTGTTAAGTATGTATGTATGCATGGGTGTATGACAATGAGCCTATGCGTTATGCTAGCCTGTACACATGTAAGTAATGATTCTTTAATGACTACACACGTTCACACTTCAAGCAAAAATGTAAAAAGAAAAAGTAGAAAAAACAAGCAGTAAAACAAATGATGAATATTAGCACATTTTAGCCATTATACTAAGAATCCGAACATGTTTGTACGCTATGACTTAATTTGGATAAGCGAAGTGGAGCGATTTGCAATCGCCATTTTTAGCAAGAATTCTTTGTTTTTTTGTTTTTGTGTTACTTGTGTAATATTGCTGCATATGCAATGTTTAAATATGTATTATATGTAGGTATGTAGGTATATGTGTGTGGATGTTAGCAGCTAAAATTTTTGTTTCTTCACCTTTTTGTTTAATATTTGCATTTTAGTTATATATAATTCGTTAAATTAAATAGTTTTTTTTTTGTTGTTTTTACGTAATAATAATGCTATGCGTATTTACGTATGTATGTATGTATTAATGCGTTCATGTAACGATTACTAAATGTAGGTATGTAGCATGTAGTAGTTTTCAACGAACAGCGTTCAGCGCAGCGTAGTACATATGTATATTTGCTTCTGCATGTTATTTATTTTGATTTGTTTTTTTACTTTTTTGATTGCGTTTGTAAATTTTTGTATTTTAATTTGAATTTTTGTTGTTTAATGCTAATGGTTTATTTATTATTCAATTATGCTTTTAGATTTTAAGCCAACCCAAAAAAGTCGATTTTAAAGTGCGTACCTTGCCACTATCGCTATCGCTCTGCTGCTGTTGTTGTTGTTGCTGCTCCCCACTGCCGCCATCTTGCGACTGACTACGGCTCGCTATGCGCGCACCCACCACTGAGGCGCTGCTAAAGCGACGCGCAGTCGCACTGCTATTCACCACACTTTGACCAGAGCCAGCTGAATTAGTGGCGGCGGCGGCGACATTGCCACCTGTGGCGCGGCGCAAAAATTGTTGTGCACCATAATTGCTTGTATTCAATTGTGTATCCTTGCGCAGCGTTGCATTTATATGCGCTGCTATGGCGCTGGGCTTTGGCGTGCTGCTCACAATGTAGCTACTCGCCGAACTGGTGGACAGCGCAGTTGGCGAAGTGGACGTTAGCAGTGTCGAATTGCTGTGATTATGGTTGTTGTGCGCCGTGTTGTAGGCCGAGACTGTGGGTGATGTGCAGAAGACATCACTGCCACCACCAACACTATTACTACTGACGTTCGAATGTTGATTATGCTGATGTACACGCGACAATGAATCCAAATGGCGTACACGTGAGGTGAGCGATTCACGCTTTAGCTTCGGTAGTGGAGAGTTTTGTAGCACTCTCGTGGACGGAGTTGGTGTCGCGTTGCAGACTGTACCAATCGGTGACTTCGAGGTAGCATTTGACAAGTGATGCGTCGCCAACGGTATGGAAGAAGATGTAGAGCTGCGACTCGTATTGGTACTCAGCGATGAGTTGTCTTTGCGTATACTTTGTGCGGAGTCGGCACGTTTCAGACTGTTCGGTGATTTGCTGTATAACAGATTGCCGGTACTGCGACACAGTGACGACTTGTTCGAGTTGCCGTATGTGTGGGTGGAAGGAGGTGAGCGACCTGCAGTAGATGGACGTCCGCTAGGTGGTTTACCTGCGGAGAAAATTTCAGTGAACGATTGATTTGAATAACATATTTAAATTGTAAGTGTGGTACATTTTATCAAAAAAAAAAAAAGAATGTTCATATAAAAGGGAAAAAATAATTATAAAATAAAACAAGAAAAAACAATAACTTTGGCTGCACCTAAGCTATAATACCCTTTACATGTGCATTTCTTATAGCATAAAAGAGTATCAAAAGTTTATCTTTATTTTGATCGGTTGGTTGCATATTATGTTCGGCGATTGTACCGTTGCCTTTGATAATAAACCATGTCAAATTTCGTGAAGATATCTTGTCAATTAAATAAAGTTTTCTATATGAAAACTTGAATTTGAACGGTCTGTTTATATGGCAACATGTTATAGTGGTTCGATCTGAACAAAATGTTCAGTGATTGTAGCGTTAGCTTTGACAATTATCCATGTCGAATTTCGTAAAAATAATAACTCAAATAAAAAATGTGTTCATGCGAGAACTCGATTTTGATCGGTCAGTTTGTATGGCAGCCATATGCTCTAGTGGTCCTATATCGGCGATTCCAATAAATGAGCAGCTTCTTAGGAAGAAAAGCACGTGTCCAAAATTTCAGATCGATAACTAAAAAAAAAACTGAAGGACTAGACAAACGGATATGGCTAAATCGACTTAGCTCGTGACCCTGATCATTTGTATATATACTTCATAGCGTCTTCGGCGTTTCTTTCTCGATGCTACGAAATTCGTGGCAAACGCAATATATCCTGTTCAGTGAATCACATGAACTCACCTGCAAAATAGGCTGCCGCTTTGCTGCCCGGCAAAGGAATCTTGCTTGGCTTGCTGACCGAGCTAACTTGTTTACCGCGCGCCGCACTCTCAAACGGACTAATGCCACCCACGCTTGCGCTCATCAGTCTGCTTGCCGTCGTCTGTGTATCGCCACTCTCTTGCAACTCATGATCATGTGCCGATTCGGTGCTACTACTATGCTGTTGGAGTTCATCCATCGGTAGGTGAATCATTGCCTTCATGCTGGGCGTTGATATTTGTGTAACCTGTGGTGCGGGCATTTGACCGATTGTTGTTGTCATTGGCATTGTTGTGGTGGTGGTTGAAATTGGTGTTGCCGAACGCAAGTCACTATAATGTAAAGTATCACTAGCGCCGCTGCCGATGCCACGCCTACTCAACATTAACGTGGTGGAAGCTGATGACCGATTGGTTTCGTAATCATTTTGAGAGTGTAAGTAGGAATTAGTGGGCGCGCCACTGTTGGGCGTTACAGAGTGTATGCGTGACTCCAAAACGCGCAATTGCGCCTTAGTGCCCTCCAACTCGATGTTCTTCTCTTCCAACTGCGGGTAAAAAGAAATGAAAAATTGCAAATTTTCTGAGTGAAGTTGGAGTAAATTTTAATTTAGCTTACTTGAAAACGCAGATCCTCCACATCATCTTTTGATTTATCCAGTCTTTTGGCTAAATGAGTTTTTGACTTGGTAGCCGAGTCGAGCTTCTGCATCAGTGCCTGTTTTGTATGCAGAGAATTATCATTACTATTTTCTTCTTTACAAATTTAATCGTTAAAATACCTGATTTTGCACAGTGAGCGTCAGCAGATGCCGCTGTAGCTCGACTACGCTCGTTTCCAATAGTATAGCGGCGAAGCGCTTTGAATCGATCAAGCGACATTTGCTGTAGCGCCCGCCCGGTGTGCTTACAACACCATCCAGACGGCCCAATTGCTGCTGCTCACTCTGTTCGGATTGCTGCTTTTTACTATCACTGCTTGCGCTTTGATGGAATGCAATGTGTATGTCCTCGGGCGGCGTTGGATGTAACGGACGATGATTGTGTTGCTGCTGCTCGATCACCACCACTGGCTGGAATGTATGTTGACGCCTACTTTGTGCGCTCGTTAGTGTGCTAGTGTTGGTGGCGGCAGCGGTACCAGCATCTAAAAGCTGTGCCGAAGCAGCGCTGCCAGTGGAGAGCACCGTGGTAGCGGAGGATAAGAAGTTGCGTTGACTCGAATAATCAGATTGACTAGAAAGAAAATTATTATGGAAATCACCAATTTTAAATTTCTAAAAATAAAGCTTCTTAAAGACTTCCTTCACTATCTAAAGCCTGCATTTTATCTTTAGGTTTACATCTCATAGCATAACCTACCTTGAAGAACTCTTACTCTGGAACTGTTGTGGCTGTTGCTGCAACTGCAGTTGCTGCACGCGCGCGCTTAAATCAAGTTTTTGCGCCATGGCCAACTTTAACTGCTCCTCGAGATCCTTTTTCACGCTAATCAGCTCCTCCACTTGATCATTCATTTTGGCCGCCTTAATGCGTCCGGTTAAGGTTTCCGCTTCCATTTCGGCCAGCTTATCGAGCAGGCGATCGCGTTCCTTACGCAACTGCTTTATATCCTCCTTGTTGAGGCGTTCTACATGTTCACGGAAGGTTTTCGGTGTGAAACCGCCACCATTTACAGTAATATTACTGCTGCCGCTACTGCTGGACTTCGCCAACACCGAGGAACTGCGTGTCGCATGTGCAGACAAGTCACTTGCAGCAACAACTGTTGTTGTCGACTCATCCGCTGGATTATTATTGTTGCTGTTGCTAAGATTGCTGCCGGCGCCGCGCAAATTCTGGCGCTCATACTGCTGCAGCTGATCCATTTCTTCGCGTAAACGATTTGACTTACGATGTATGACATCGAGCAAATTGAGCAGCTCGTCGTCCGATTCGTGGCAGGAGAGGCGATTCAGTGCGGTGGGGCCCTAAAATTTTTAACGAAAAATTACATTTTGATTTTAGTACAAAATAAGTTCAGGAAGCAGCAAAAACTTACCGTCATAGCACCATTTGTGGACGAAGCACTATGCCCCTCCTTCGATGAACTTGTCTCCGTGGAGAAACCGGAATCCTGAACAACACTACCGTTGTTATTCTCTCCGCTCTTTGGCTCTTTTTTACCGCTATGTGAATTGCTGCGGCTACGCGTCAGCGACGATGAGGATAATTCGCCGGCTGCAACGGCCGCAGCAGTGGCGCCGTTGGCTGCCGGTATGGACGGTTCTTTCTGCGAAACTTTGCGCTTCAAGCGTATGCCGGGCTCCCACTCGCGTCTGCGCAAAACAAACGTGTAAACCAATTAGTAAAACAAATTTTATTTATATTCTTCACCCACTACTCACCTCGATACTAACGACGCATTCGACATGCCACCACTGCCGCTGCCACTACCACAGGCGAGCGTGTGTGCGCCCGTTCCCGATGCGCTACTCAACACAGCGCCACCGGTTGCGTTCGTTGTGGACGAACCTGTCGCTGATGACATAGACGCCATTTTATGCTTGAGATCCGGAAAGGTTTCAATGACCAGATCGCGAAATTCCAACAGCGCACCAACTTCATGCTGCAGCTCCTGCAGCGACTTGGTCTGCTCGCTCTGTATGTGATGATGGCTGCTGCTATGATGCAGCGGATAATTATTGCTGTACGGTGTTACGGCATGATGGCCAACCAAATTCAGATGCGGGTGGTGTGCATGCAAGTTCGCGAGTTGCTGTGGATATGAACCGACAACGGCGGTGACTGTCGGTGTGCTGCCGCTCATTACAGCGGCCGCTGTGCTGCTGTTGCCGTTAGACAAGATGTGATGATTTGCAACGCCAAGGCCGAGTGTGCCGATGCCACTGCTATTACTACTACTGCCGCCATTCATAATGGGCAAACAGTCCATGGCGCTAATAATTGCGGTTGTTGTTGCAAAGCCGCTATTGTTTGTGGGGCAAAGCGCAAGGTCATAGGAGTCGTTATTCTGTAAGTGAAGAAGAAAAACCGGCTTAGTAATTATTAGCATTTAAATACGAAATTGGACATAATGTTTATTTTCATGTTTATTGCAAAATATATATTTTTAAAGAGTTGTCAATTGTTTTAAAATGTGTAAAAATTGCACATAAATACGATATTGGAAATAAATATGCCTAATTAATTTTATGAGCCGTAATTAAAAAAATACTTTTTATAGAGTTGCCATCCTCATTTCAAAGAAATATATTTTAAGAAAAAAAATAAATTGCAAATAATTAAATGTACTTGGTATAATTAGAGTCATCGGAAAATATAATTTACAGAGTTGCCACTAAATTTAAATTTCAAAAAAATTTAAACAAAAAATAAATTGGAAAAATTCTCATAACAGTTTTAAGACAAATATTTTTTTCAAGCATTGCCATCTGTTTTAAAATTTAAAAAATTGGAGATAAATATGTCTGTTTATTCTCATTAACTGCCCCAACAAGAAATATTTATTTTTATAGTTTCCTCTAAACTTAAATGAAAAAAATTGGCAGATAAAAAATAAATTGGAAATAAGTTAGTGGGTTTAATCTCATTAGTATTATTGAGAAAAAATATATTTTACAGAGTTGCCATCTAAATTTAAAATTAAAAAAGTTGGGATAATAAATAAATTGGAAATATGTATCTATCAAGAGAGTTTTTGAAAAAAAACAAAATTTTTTAACGATACCATTACCAATTGGAAATAATATTTGCCTATTTATTCTCATAGAGTTGCCAACTGAATTAAAATGTAAATATTGCAGATAAAAAATGTATTAGTTATAAATAAGTGTGATCTGTGTAGACTCATCAGGAAAATTTATTGTACAGAGTTGCCACTGAATTTGAATTAAAAACAATTTGTAATAAGAAATAAATTTAAATTTTTTATAGAAATTGTGTGCATTATTTTAATTGCTTTTTAAGATATGTATGATACCAAGTACAAATTGGATACGTATTGCCACCCTTATTTAATTTAATGCTAATTAATATTATATTTAAAAAATTATATTAGTCTGCAATGCGTGTTTTCTAAAACAAAGTATTTTCGTAAAAATATGGAAATGCCACCTACCATGAAATACAATTTTTTTCATTAATAAATTAAATTTAGTGTGAAGTTCAAACACCAGTGACACTGTGGGAAAAACAGCAGATATTGAAAAATTCCAAAGACAAATATTTTTAAAAATTACCACATTAACTTTTTATATTCACAGTCATATCTTTGCGACAATGAGAGACGACCATTTAGGGTCCGCAATTTTCTGCCAATAATTAATGAACGTTTCTTTATTTTTGTCAACATAAACGCCACCCACATATGTACATGTAATTATTTCTTCTTTTTTTTAATATTATTTTTAGTCACAAACGCACAAGGCAACGCTCGCTGGTTAGTTACTAGCAAAAAAGCCAGTCAGCCAATCAACCCGGCAGCAAATAGGCAAAGGTAATGTGAGCGCGCTGCTTGGCTTTCGACTAAGAATGAGTAATTCTTAATCGACACTTGTATATTTAAGCATGTGTGCGGCAATGTCAGTGGGTGTTGCCAGCAAATTTGCAAGTAATTGGCTTTGCCACCTTAATTGCAGCCAATAACCAACTAAATGAGTGGCAAACAAAGTGTCAGGCATTACTCAAACATGTGCTAACATTCATACATATTTATATATTGCTTTTGCTAATGAGAAAATAAGCTTTGGTAGGAAAAAAAACGCGTCGGCTTCACTGATAATTCTTTACGTGTCGGTTGGTGTGTCAAAGTTGCCACTAATAATATTTATGTATGTTTAGTTGCATTTACGGTGCTTTTCTATAAACACATATGTACATACATATATGTGGATGTTTTGATTATATATTACATATAAACTTTCTAATTAAAAGCAAATTTGATGCCAAGCCGCTTATGCTTGTGCGCTTGTAATGGGGCGAGGAGATAGTGTGGTCAGCGGCTACCATTGCTACTCTCACTTTCAATTAACCCACTCAACAAAGCTAAAGCCAAAGCCGATCAACACAATTCACTTGCGCAATTACGGTGCGCTAATGAAAATTAAACCCGCCTTACTGAGAAATATTGGAAAAATTGTGGAGAAAAGCAGAGGAATGCATAAGCGGTGGCATTTGAGTGAAAGAAGCAGCTAAACGGAATTGATGCACATACATACATATGTACCTGTACATATAAATATATTTACATAAATTTATGACATACCAAAATATCAGCGTGAAAAATTTTCCAGAGAGAAGTAGGAAAAAATTTCAATTAAAAATAAAGTTTAATTACAGGGTGAAGAAAATACTATGGAGTTAATTCTAAAAACACAAAAAAAACTAAAAAAAAAAAAACAAAAAAACAAAAAAAAACACAAAAAAAAAAACATAATAATAAACAAAATAAAAAAAAAACAAAAAAAAAGTAATAAGCAAACACAAAAAAAATAATAAACAAAACAAAAAAACCCTCCAACAAAAAAGTTAACTTCGACAGCACCGAAGCTATAATATCCTTTTCAGCTGCATTTCTTATAACATAAAAGCATATGAAAAGGTCTTTATGTTGATCTTAATCGGTCAGTTTGTATGCCAGCTATATATTAGAGTAGTCCGATCTGAAAAATTTGTCCGAAAATTGTACCATTAACTTAGACAATAATCCCTAACAAATTTCGTGAAGATTTCTTGTCACGTAAAAATGTTTTCAATACAAGAAATTTCAAATTAAGTTTTGCTATATGCTAATGTTCCGATTTAGAAAAAAAAACATGTGTACATTTTCAGATCACCATCTCAAAAACTGAAGGGCTAGTTCGCGAATATATAGACAGACTGAGGAGGCTATATCGACGCGGCTCATCACTTGGATCATTTATATGTATATAAAATTCCGAGTCTTTCCGCTGTTTTTTTTTAATTAGGTAGATTATAGGCCAAAAATTATACAAAACATCTGTTAGGTGACATTTATTCTTCGATTTGAGTCATATTCAAGATAAACATACTATATTGGAAAGAGAAAACCAATTTCACTTAAAAAATTAACGTTTCAACGTAACATTTATTGCATGATATTAAAAAAAATGTGGAAAACGGTTGGCCTCAAGGGCCCTGCAACTTCCCGCTAATTTCATACGCTAACGTTCGAATTTCGCTTTTTTCACTGCTTTTGAGCTCTTCGAAATTTTTCGTTTTGAATATCTCGCAAGTAAATCAACCGATTTCGACCCGGTTTGCGGCAAACGATGTGTTTTTTCAAGGTTTAGAACTGATTAGTTTTTGGTGTTGATCGGTCAAGTCGTTTGGAAGAAATTCGAAAAAAACGATTTTTCAAAATTTTTATTTTTGAGATTTCTCAAAATCTACTGGTCCGATTGGGTTTAAACTCACACGAAATTCAAGTGCAATAAAACCTTTGGAATGCTGTTTAGTTTATTCAAATCGGTTGAGCCGTTTAAAAGTTATAAGAGGGTCACATACATCCACACACACACACATACATCCACACATACATACAGACATACGGACATCATCGTAGAAATGTTCGGGGAAGCTTCCTCGACCCTCAAAACGTCGAGATCTGTTGAGAACTCGATTTTTGCAAAATGGGGTGAAACCAATATCTTCCCGATTTTTAGAAAATTTTAAATTTTCTTAGCGGGAAGTTAAAAATACAACAGAGTTTTTCAGTTTACGTCATATAAAACAAATATGATGAAAAAAAAGTCATGAGTATATATGTACACATGGAGTCCGATAAAGCTGCCAAAGAAAAGTTTGTTCAATATAAATAGTACCAAAAGGTCCAACCACCGGTAAAATCTCCGACAAACTAAATAATTTCGTAAATAACGTTAGCAACTACTGTTTAGTGTTCGATGATTATTCCAGTTTAAATTTCTACATGAAATTACCAACACAAAAAAACAAAAATTATATATATATATATTTTTTTTAATTGATAAAGGGGGTCACTAATAAACTCATTTACAGTTTAACAACTCATTTTTTATATTCCACCAACAATTTTACATAAAATAATAAAATAAGTTATTTTTAAGCATTTAAAACAACTATTATTTACGCCATGACTGTACATATATATGTGCTTGTGAATGTTAGCGCAATATAACAGCAACAGCTGATGACAATCCAGCCACTCCCTTTCACTGACATACATGATGTAACGGCAATATAAAAATGTTATTACTCATACGTCCTGTAGACCAATGGGCGTTGTTGTTCACACATGAAATGGCAAATTTAATTTTACAACTACTCACGATTTTCTCAACAAACACACCAGCTAACTAACTAGCACACGCTTGAGACAAGAGAAAAATAAATATTTCCAATTTTCCATGAAGTTAATTGTGAGCGTTAGTGGTGTGAGGAGTCCAGTTAATATCGCAAAGGCGGAGAAATTCACAGAAATCAATTTGAATGCAGGCGCTACAATTGAACAAAGTTACGTTAGCAGATGGAGGGCAAACGTTACAGAAAAGGGGAAGGATAAAGAAGAGGAAGAAATGAGAGTACGAAGAGATGTAAGTGTTGGAAAATATGAAAACAGCCTGAAAAACAGATTTACAGGCGACACTTCACTAGCTCAATAAGCGCTTTTCAATGGCAAGAGGTAAGAACCAATGACTAAGTGCAATCTCTCCACGAAGAGGAGTTTAAAGCATAATAATCAGTCGTACTGCTAATTTAGTATTTGCAGACAAAAATCTTTGAGCAGAGTGGACAGGTTTTCGGTGATATTAGGCTAATTTCGAATAGTTCGCGATGATATCTGTTTGGCCACCTACTCTATATCAATCGCCACTCAATGCATCCGGTGCTTGATGTGGTTAAAACCTGATAACTCTACTAGATCGAGTTTCTCTTTCTATGCTATATACAAAAAACAGTACTCCTCTGAAAAAAAATATACTGACTCTTTCATTGTCAACTTCAATAGATCAAAATATAACACATTGTATGATAACACTCCGATATTTTATCAATGAGAACTATTAAGTTACTTATTATCACACCAACATCTGATAGTACCAAATGAAGTCGGGAAGATAATATAGAATTTGCTGTCATATTCCTTAAGCAGTATGAGATCTGTAATAAATTGGGTTTCCCCCCAAAAACACAAGAACGAACGGAGCACATTGAAGTAAGAAAATCTTAAAAGAAAACGTCGGAAAGCCTATAAAGTAAATACATAAATGATAAGCGTGACGAACTGGTCCCTCAGTTTTTGGGATATCAGTTTGAAATTTTGCACGTGTTCTTCCCTTTCCAGTCCTTGTATGGAAAACTTTTTTATTTCACAAGATATCTTCACCAAATTTGGTAAGGTTATTGCCCAAAACAACGCTACAATCTCCAGATATATTGTTCAGGTCGGACCATTACATCATATAGCTTTTTGTACCCTTTTATGCTATAAGAACTGCACCTGTAAAGGATATTTTAATTTTGGTGCAGCCGAGTTAACGTTTTTCTGGTTTTTTTATTTCAATTTTCACAGTAAACGGCTTAAAGATAATCTGTGTCATATTTATTTCAGCCCTCTTTGAATGCTTGCATATATTTGAGTTTGTATCTTTTGTCGAAAGAGTTTCATCTGACAGCAACAAAAATTTTATTCGTTTCACAACAATATGAGATATTGTATGGAAAGAAAGAAAGAAAGATATAATATTTTGCTACTACATTTCATTTAAATAAAGTTATTATATACTTATTTTATTGGCTTATATCAATTGCTTGTTCGGTTCGCCACTTTCCAAATTTTCACGCGTATCAAAAATAGCTAAAGTAGAGTAAAAATTTCATGAAGCCACCAACAACAATTTGATAGCTGATAACCATTACTTTTTCATTTATCATTTTTTTTTTCCATCCAGGCCCCACTTCGCTTGAGCTGCCGTATAACTTGCAAAGCGTTATTCGGAACGCGCTTCATTTACATAAATGTTGATCCGCAACCAATAATTTTTTATTGCCATATAGTTACAATAATATACATACATACATATAACTATGTATATTTTTATTTGCATTTTTGCGGTTTTCATATTTAATTACAACACTCACATTGAACACCAGAAAACGAGAAACATTTTGTCCAACACATTTGTATGTGCATACATATGTATGTATATTGCCACAGAAAAACGTAATTATGAATATGTAAATTGACAAAGATGATATAAAAAGTGTTCCAGTTTATTTATTTCGTTTTTTTTTTCGAACTGCATGGCGCTGGGCCTGCTTTATTGGCTGGTTACTTGAGTTGTTCAACTGTTAACCCGATATGTCAGTTTGTAAGCAAAAGCCGCTTACCTCAGCCGCAATTTACAAATGTAATGTGATATTTGAATTCAATCGGTTACCGGGTTATTATAGGATCGAGTATAATTTTTTTTAGGTATGTATGTATGTATATTAATTTACTGATATATAGTGCTGATACGCCAATTACATAAGCCACAAAGAAGAGAGCGAGTGCGGCGTTTCTACAATAAGCCAACAAAAAAGCAAGAATTATGACTGGTTTGTGGCAGATTGGCGAGCTTCATCATGCGACTACTCATAGTGAACATTTAAATGCTTTACTTTTGAAATATAGGTATAATATATGTAAGTGTACATGTGTGTAGCTAAATGTGTTTATATTTGTTTTTGTTTACTAGTTGCCTTCTAATACACATTTTTGACAAATGATATGTTTCATGTGCACTCGATTTTATATATATGTAGCTACACCTCTTGACCAATGATTATTGACAGCCCGCTCCTCGGTCGGTCAGCTAGCTTGTCGGCTATTGCCGGGTAGCGAAGCATTAATCATGCAAAACGAGGCTAATTTGTACGCTCGATTGCAGTTGTTGGTAGTTGAATTAAAAATATTGCTTTTGTTTTTATTTAAAAATTTCATATTTTAGTAGGTTGCAATTAAAACAAAATTGCTAAACTCGATCTTTACAAATCCAAAAGCGAAGTAGTTATTAAAACGAAATTGCAAAATTAATGTACCGTTAGGATTTTTACTTGAAGCCTCGATTTGGCTATTTGCAATCAGTTTTGTTATATTTTGTTTTTGGTTATTGACGCTTTTAATATTTGTTTGGTTATTTATACTCGTATGATTGAGCCGTAGAGCCTTTCCAATTGCCACTTGTTTGATCGATATCTCGACATATGCATTCATACAAATATATAGTAGAAATAAATGTACATATATTATATGCAGGTATATAAGGTAGATGTTTTGATGGAATTTTATATAAGTTTTTATATAAGTCTCTGCAAGATCTTTGAAGCCGTTCACGTGAGCGATGAATATCAAAGAAGATAGAACCACGAACTGTATGAACTCTACGGCGACATGAAGATATGTATTTAAGCGCATAGAAATCCAACGAATACGCTAGTTAGGCCATATCGTCTGCATAGAAGATGATGCTCCAGTGAAAAGCTTCTTCGAACCGAGACCTCTAGCTAGAAAACGGAAGCAAGGGCGCCCACGCATATAATAGAAGGACCAAGTGCATAGTGAACTCGCAAAGCATAGAGGCAACTGATGAAATTTTGTGTTGTCGCCCCGGATCGACCCACGGTTATAGTGCCAAAGAAAAAGAAGAAAAAATATACTAAATTAGCTTGTTTTTTTCACTCTTCGGAAATCTCTATTTGTTCCCTTTCAGACTTATTTATATGAAAATAACTTTTTTTTTAAATTAAATAAAAATAGTCATTCGTGAGAAGGCATAAAAATTAAAACAATCTCGGCTTTCAAAAAATTATCCCATCTCCAATATTATTAAAATAAATTCACTTAAAAAATAATAATAAATTCGACATTGCATTATCTACTTAGTATGTTTGTGTATTTCCACTTTTTATTAAAGTAACCTTTCTAATTAATTTTTTTTTAGAATTCTATAATAATTTTTATATTTCTGGCCAACTCTGGGACATTTCTTTTATTTTTGAAAAACTGCAAAAACAATTTCTACAACAATAGAAATTCGTATATTTGAATAAATTGAGATATTTTCACTTTCGTGCGTATTTTATATTTCATCTTAACTTTTTTAAATTACTATGTATTAATATATTTAATATTTTATCATAATTTTTCAGACAAAATTTTTTTTTTTGAATTTTGTTGCATTAGACACCTTTTTTTTGCATACAAATTTCATATGGATATTTCACCTTTTTGCGCACTGTTTCGTCAAGCGAGGTTTAATTTTTAGCACCAATAATAAATATAACACACAATATCAGCTGATACATCAGAAAACACCAGAATACATGTATGTATATAAGTGTGTGTATTTATAAAACTGTGTATGGAGAGCGCACGCACACTGACACAGATTGACGCTTTAATCTTAGTCTCTGAGATATTTGTCATTGACAACGCTTGAATGCCCGCTAGGTATGGGACTTTCCAAACCGTAGCGTCGCCGATTTGGTTTCAGTACGTGCTGTCGTCACATTCGAGTAAGCAAAAACAAAATCACCGTCAAGTCATATTAGACGTATAGGCGAATTACAACTATAACAAAAGCAAAAAATGTACATTTCGAAACCGTCTTAATTAGGTGGCAAAAATACGCGCAAATCCGTCAGTGCCAACTAATAAAATTTCTTACGAACGTGTTTGTACGCAGGCGCACTTGAGTTAGATGACGCGCACACCGAGTGATACTCAGTTGAACAAGCAGTGTTTCAGTCACTCGCTGCGAAAAAAAAGTATACGTTGGCGAGGAACTGAGTGGCCGAGCGCACATGACTGGCTGATTCATTGTGTCATTGATCTCACACATGATTTTGCGAGTTTGATAGTTGTATCTTAAATGTTTACGAAGTTGTTATGTAAATATATTTTTATAATTAATAAATGATAAAAAAAAATGAAATTTGCGGATGCTAATTGATAAAATTTCTAATAACTCAGCTCTAAAAAATGTATATATAAAATAATGCCGTGGCAACTTCGGAATTGATTGTAAATACAATACGGGACAGACTTCAGAGATCTGGCATCAAGCGCAGCAGTACTGTAGTCAAACCGTTATTTTAAAAAACACACATTGAAAAAAGGTTGCATTGGGCGCCGGAAAACATCAACCAAGATTGGAGCAATATAATATTTATAGATGTGTCAATTTTTATGTTCTAAGGAGCACCGCAAAAAGGAGCATGTTTATGGATGCATCTCTACTCTTGGAGAAGAGAGTTAAGCTGCTTCACAGAAAACCTGAACGCCGTTAGAATTTTAAAACTGTATAAAAAATGTTTACGTCAGCGGAAATGCTTTATGGCAAAAATAACCACAATTGGATGGTGCAAGAAGACAATGATCCGAAACATAGGAGTAGACTCTGTACACAATGGAAACAAAAAAACCATATTGTTACTTTAGATTGGCCATCACAGTCACCAGACGCCAATCCAATAGAGAATGTTTGGACTATAATGAAAGCCAAAATATCAAGAAGGCATTTAAGGTCAAAAAAATATTTCACTCGGCTACACCAACAAACCTGGAGCTCGCTTCCTGTGGAATATGCGGAAAATTTAATTGCAAGTTGCCATCAAAAATGTCTAACTAAAACAGAAATCGTGAGAGATTAAAGCAAATATTCAATAAATGTTTACCAAAACCAAACAATGTATATTCTATAATTACACAAATTTTTCCATTAAGAGCTAGCTATACTTTGGAAAACGAAAACATTATTTTTTGAATGCACTGTACATAGAGTATAGTGGAATTTTTTATTATTATACTTTTTTGTTAATTTTCTCCTAAATCAGACTATAATGTATAATGCTAAGCTAATTTAGTTTAACAATTTTTCGCATTAGCACAAAGCCAAACTAGTAAACAGTTTATATATTAATCAAGTATACTTAGCTCTGCGTACTAGTCACTCAATTCTACCGAAAAAGCATGTTAAGGCTACAATGAAGCCCTTGAAGTGTATTCAGCTAAGCATAAATGTTTATATACTGGTACTGTAAATATATATGTATGCATATAGTATAATTAAAAAGTATTGTAATTTAAAACGTGCTTTGGGAAATTAAAGCGGCTGTGGTTATGACTAAATACTTATACTAGTACAAAACTAAGCAGCTATGACATTATGAGAAGAAAATTAAAAAATATATGTGTATTATAGGTATTAAACTGTTATTACGCAATTTTTAATTCTACCTTCTTTATGGCAAAATTGGAGAGTAGAGCTATAAAGCCAATAAAAGTAGACAAAAACGAATTACGACTCATTTCAATAATTACTAACCCAGTCAATTAACTAATTAGTTAAAAGTAGGGGGAAAAAATAATAATATAAAAAAATCGTTTTTAAGTGATATTTAAAAAACCAAAAATTATAGTCATGGAAAAATTAAAAAAAAAATATGAAATTAAAAATTTATGACAGCTTTGAAATAATTTTTCAATGCACTCTAAAAAGGTTTAAAATATATTTTCAGCCATTAAAATAATTATGTGAAACAATTTGAGCTTAATAATTTTTAAAAGTACTCTTTTTCAGCGATTGATATTCAGTTCTTCCTCAGTACTTTGACAATGTCTTTTCGAATGAAATTATTTTACATCAATGAATAATATATTTGCATTTATTAGATACCAAAAAAAAAGTCTAACGAATGAAACATCTGTAAATGGCTGCTGCAGGATTCCGACATTCTTCGTGAATGAACTCAAAAAAAAGTATTGACTAGAAGATATTGTCCGTTGTATTTTACATAAAAGTTTGGTCGGCTTTGGTCGATTTCTGCTCAAATCAAAAAACTTGCATGTTGTATAGAGAACCTGTTTCAGGCTGAAAGTCGGATCAGATCATTTATTTCCAGTAATTACTGCAGCTAATTCGAAAAATAATGTTTCGAGGAAAACGCATTTAAAGATAAACTGATGGAGTTAATTAAACTGAGCGCTTTCATTTTAGAAGCTTGTAATTCAAAAACTTTATGAGACATCGATTTAAACTTTTTGTACGTAGTTTACCCATCGAAATATGCTACGATATTATACCCTGAACTAAGTACAAGTATATTAAGTTTGCCGCGGTATTTGTAACACCCAAAAAGAAACGTATATATCTAAATGATCGGCATGATGAGCTGAATAGATTCAGCCATGTTCGTGTCCGTTTTTCTGTATGTAAACGAACCGGCATGGGTAAACTACTATCGAAATCAATGGTACAATTTCCTAAGATATATTTTAGATCGGATCACTATAGCATATAGCTGCCATATATGAACGATCGGCATCAATTGCTTGTATTAAAAACTTTTTCGTTTGCGGATATATCTTCCCGACATTTGGCAT